GCAGGGTGCTCCCCGGACGGGGGCTCTGCGCACCCTCCGCCTCGCTCGTCCCCACCCCGCCCCGCGCTCCTGGGGCCTGAGCCCCCCACCCCCGCAGCCTCGTGCCCCTCTCCCCCTGCTCTCTCTGCCCGGGACCCCTGCAGCGCCCCCTCCGGAACATCCTCCCTCGGTCCTCAGACCAGGACACACCGTGCGGGCTTATTTTCCACCGCTGGCTCCCCTGGTGTGGCCTCCTTCCCTCCCTTCCCCCAAGCAGGCTTTAAATTTCCCATTCCTGGCTTTCAGTCATCAGGAGGCCTGCCCAAAAACAGCGCCACCAGAGAGAGCAGAGGGCCTCTTGGGGTGGATTCTTACAGCGCTAGAAGCAGGGTAACAGGACACGGCGCCTGGCCAGGGACCTCCGTCTGTGCTCTTAACTCTGCTGAGGCACGAGGTCCCTGCTCAAGCCACAGGGAATTGCCCCCACTCCCTGCAGAGCGCTTCTTAGCACACCTTGGAGCCAGGAGCATTCCTCCTCCAGCGGCCCCCCCGCCCCACTAAGTCCTTTGGAGGTGGGGTGTCTTCTTCTCAAAGGATTGAGAAGGGAAGAAAGGCTTCTGTAACAGGGAGATGGGATGAAGGGAGAAGAGAGGAAGGAGCCGCTGGCGAGCGAGCTCTTTGCTGGTCTTGCCACTAACTTGCTGTGTGACTTTAAGCAAGTTGCTTCCCTTCTCTGAGCCTAAGTTTCCTTGTCTGCAAATCCAGAGTTGTTCCAGTCTGTGATCTGAAATGGAGAGACAGAAGTCTGGCGTAGGCAGTGAGCTGCTTCTGCACCTCCCCAAAACCAAGCTTCAGCCTCCAGGGGTGGGCAGGAAAGGCCTCTTCCTCCCAGGCCAGAGAAGGCCAAATCCTTTTGCTAGTGTCCTGTGAACCCTGGACACCTTGGGGCCAAGGACAGGGTCTCAGTGAGCTCCAGGTTCCATGGTTCCATCGAGGCCGTCATTCCAGCAGAAGGGGAGCTCTCTACAGCACAAGACCAGGATGAGGACGAGCTGCCACAAGTTTCCCAGAAGCTCATCCTCCTCGGAGGCACTGGGGAGTCAGGCCCCACTGGGTCCCCTCACCCGGCAAGGTGACCCTACCTGGGTCTGCATTCTCAGTTCCAGTTGATGGTGCCTCTGGTGTGATTCCCATGTCCTCTGTCCACTCAGCAGCCTCACTCCTGGCTTGGCCCCTTCTCGTCTGTCACTTTAGGTCATTTTCCCCAAAAGTCCGGGAAATGGGAAAGAAAAACGACTTTGTTTATTTACTCTGTCAGTTGTCTTTTGGACACTGATTCCTGGAGTGGTTTATCGGGTGTTAGGGGGACAGCAAGAGGCTCTGGCATTTGCGTCATCTGATACTTGGATGAGGGGACAGGACCCCTGACTCGGAAATAATAACACTTATCTCCTGGCTGTCAGATTGTCAGGTCTGTGGGGCTGGAGAAGGATGCAGGGCAAAATATCACAAAGAAGGTTCCCCCCCCCCCCCCCCAAAAACCCAGAGTGCCAGAGTGTGTGGGGGGGTAGGGGGTGGGGGGGTACTAACCTCTTGGCTTTTCTGGGGGGTCTCACCCAGGGGCAACCATAGGCATATACTTGGTGTATAGGGAGGCTGAGAGTTTATGGGTTTTGGAAATCAAATGCTTCAGGGTTCCAATCCTGTCTTTCCAGAATTCCCAAGTGATATGTCCCTGGACTGGTTGCTTAAGCTCTCTAAAGCTGAATCGCTGCCCCGACACAGTCAACAAATGTTTACTGAGCACCTATCTAGGCACCAGAAGTGACCGGTCCAAGTCCCTGCTGGTATGGAGTACATAGCTGTCTCTGAGAATATGGGGATGATAACACCTGCCTTGTGGGGGTAGGAGGGAGGGTTAATCCAGGTTGTCTATAAGTGTTTAGGGTGTGCAAGTGGTGGGTGCTCTCTTTGGGAGGAGTGAGGCCCCGTCCACTGCTCAGGTGGGGGCCCCTAGGGATGTGGGAGGGAAGCTGGAAGTGAGGGAAGCAGTGGTCAGGAAGCCCTCGAACACCTGGTCCCCTGGAGAGCGCCCCACCTGCGTGCAGCGTGCAGCGTTTGCATTGGGATTACCCCTTCCCCCACCTCCTGTGAACCCTGCTGCTGTGCTGAGGTCATGGGTCGCTGCTAGGACCCCATTGCCTGGGCTTTCTCGGAACACCTCCCTGCCAGGGAGCACAAGCGCCTCTAATAGCTTGGAGCCTCTAAAAGCCTTGACCACAGCTCAGCTGGCTCCCTGCAAGCCCTTTGAAGCGCTTCCTTCGAACTTGCTTTGCATATTCTGGTCAGATCTGAATCAGACTAGCAGGAATTACCCCTCTTGGTAACAGTCTAGGTGGCTGCCTTAGCTTGTCAGTGACACACACGGGCAGGCACGCTGACGTGAAGGCGCGTCTGATATTCCACCGCGAGGAGCACCAGGGCAGTGAGGGGGCAGACCCGCCACCCTCTGTGCCTCCCGTTCTCCTCTCCTCCGATGCAGAGTGTGGGTGTGGGTGAAAGAGAAAGCAAGGCAGAGAAGGGGTGGGGGAAGAAGTCTCAAGTCATGTTTTTCATTAAAAAATAGTGCTCTTTATTATAAATTACTGAAATGTTTCTTTTCTGAGTATAAATATAAATATGTGCAAAGTTTGACTTGGATTGGGATTTTGTTGAGTTCTTCAAGCATCTCCTAACAGCCTCGAAGGCCTGAGTGAGGGGGAGGAGAGAGGACTGGAGGTGGAATCTTTATAAAAGACAGAGTGATTGAGGCAGATTGTAAACATTATTTAAAAATAAGAAACAAACAAAAAATTCGAGAAAAAAAACCACCCCAACACACAGCTGCCCCATCCAGCCCAATACCTGACACAGAAAACTGAATGTGTTTGTTTAGTTTTCCCCCCCAAAAAGAACAGTTCCAGGTAATTCCATCACTGCTACATTCCTGTAAGTTTTCACTGATCAGTGCTATGGCAGACCGGAGCAGCTGGAGTGGCAGGCACCCGGCCTCTGAGTGACTTCCTCCTCCCCTGACCCAGGCGAGGAGGGAGGGCTGTGCAGGACTGGGGGTGCTGTGGGACCTGGTGGCTCTGCTCTGACCACGAGGCACCTTTGACTGGCCAATACCCATGGGGCTAACATTCTCCCAGAGCTCAGCTGGAAGGCATGGGTCTCTGCCCCCCACCCACTTTCCCTGGCTGGCTGGGTGCTCTTGGGCAAATCCCTTGGCCTCTCTGCCTGGATTGGCCAAGTGTGTGGCTTATCGTGTGCCAGTCCCTATCCATAGGACAGGGAGCATTTAAGGCGAATCTCCTAGCCACTCATAGTCAGGAGGCACAAAGTAGAACCCCCCCCATCTTCTCTACCGGGGGTCTGGGATCAAAGATGGCTCATCTCTGTCCTCCCCACCCTCCACTCCCAGGCGCTGGAAGGTATAGCATGGGTAGGAAAAGGAGACCAACTGACCAGCCCGTCCATCCCCCTCCAAATGCCACTTCCCCCTTAAAACAGGGGAAGAGCTCTGGGCACCAGGTGGACTTTGGGACCTGTGTCTTGGGTGGTGGTTCCAAGAGAGAGGGTGAGGGGTACCTGGTCACCCCTTGCTCTTTCCTCGGAGCCAGGGAGAGGCGCATGCAGCTTCTCCTCGCCTGGGCTGGGCAGTGGGAGCGGCCACCTCCTTGGCCAGCCCAAAACCCTGGGGCCCCCTCAGGCGCCCTCTCTCTTCCATCCTTTCCCAGGCTCTGCAACCTGCTCAGGTTTAAACCAAATCAAAGAGCAAACAAGTTCCGTTGGAAAGTTTGAAGATTCCCGGGCAGTTCTCATTAGTTCAACACTCCCTAAGTGTCCCCGTTCGGAAGGGGAGGAGGAATCGAGGAAGGGAGGAGGAGAGGAGAATCCACTTGTCGTTACTATTGTCCCACCAGGCCAGCTGGCTCCTCCGGAGAAGCTGGAGTGGGGGAGGGGGGCGCAGGTGGCCCTCCCCCTTCCCTCAAACTCATTCCAGGTCCTGCCTGCCCCATTCTGCAGGGGGGAGGGCAGAAGGGAGGGGCCCGTCCGCCCAGCTCGCCAGAGCTGCAGGACTCCCTCACGGCTGGATTCTTGTGCTTGTGCCATGTGCCACCGAGGAGAGGGGACCCAGGCCCCTCTCCCGGACCCCTGCCCTTTGCTCTTTACAGTGGGGCATCATACTGGTCCAGGAACTCGCGGATGGGCCCCGGCAGCTGGGTGACTTTCTCATAGGAGTCCAGGTGGCCATTGACGGTCTTGCGACAGAGATGCTGAAGAGTGGCCACGTTGGAGGAGAGGGGCCGGCTCAACACCAGGGGGATCTTCTCGCCCCCCGAGTAGATGTAATAGGCTCTCCTGGGGGGGTTCCCCGGGAGCGGCTGGGCAGGCGGCTGCTCTGGCACCTCGGAGGAGGGTTCAGGGGGTGGCGAGGGGAAGGAGGGGGCGCCAGGCGGAGGCATGTAGTGATGCACCAGCTTGAGCACGCAGTCGAAGCGGGGCACGGGCTGCGTGCTGCGGGGGTCACTTTGCAGCGAGAAGCTGCCCCCCTCGCACTGGATGCGCAAGTTCTTGGTCCCCGACTGGGTCTTGACGCTGAGCGTGAAGAAGTGGCGCTGGTCCGAGCTGTCGCGGATGAGGAAGGTGCCGGCGGGCTCGGCGCTCAGCAGCAGGTTCGCCTCGCCGCCGGTCACGGCGCTCCAGTAGAAGCCGCTCTCCTGCAGCTTGCGCACCGTGTTCACCACCAGCTGGTACTCGCTCTTGGAGCTGAAGGTCTTGAGGCGCAGGCTGGTGTCCAGGGGGCGGCTCATCCCGGCGGCGGGAAACTTGCTGTGGGTGACCATGGCGCACGGAGCCAGCGTGGATCTGCGCGGCGGCGGCTGCAGCTGCTTCGCGGCCTCCGCACAGCGGCCGCTACCGCATCCCGGGGGGCTGCGGGGAGAAGGGGGACGCGCCGCGTGAG